CCCCCCCCACACCTCCAGAAAACCGGGAGGGGGTCACTACCGTCACCGCCGGCAAACGACTCCCAGGTCCCCACCACCGTGCGCACCACATCCCCCACTGCTGTCCCCAGCACCACTGTCCCCACCACCAGTCCCCACTGTTCCCACCACCGTCCCTCCTGTCCCCACCAGTGCCCCCACCACTGTCGCACTGTCCCCAGTGTCCCCAGCACCAGTCCCCACCACGATCCCACTCTCCCACTTTCCCCACGGTCCCCACCCCTGTCCCACTGTCCCTACTGTCCCCACTGTCCCACTGTGCCACTGTCCCCGCCGCTGTCCCACTGAGCTGTCCCACTGTTCCAGCCACGGTCCCCACTGTCCCCACCACTGTCCCCACTGCACCTCTGTCCCATTGTCCCGCCACCGTCCTCGCCACCGCCATCACCACTGTCCCCACCACCAATGTCCCCTCCACTGTTCCCACCACTGTCCCACTGTCCCCACACCACTGTCCCCACCACCACCGTCCCCACCACTGTCCCACAGTCCCCACTACTGTCCCACAATCCCCACTGTTCCCACCATTGTCCCCGCTGTCCCCACCAGTGTCTCACTGTCCCCACTCTCCCCACCATTGTCGCACCACGGTCCCACTCTCCCCAATGTCCCCACTGTCCCCACCAGTCCCACTGTCCCCACTGTTCCCACCACTGTCCCACTGTCCCCACTGTCCCCGCCACTGTCCCCGCCGCTGTCCCACTGTGTGTCCCACTGTCCCCACCACTGTCCCACTGTCCCCACCACTCTCCCCACTGTACTACTGTCCCACCACCGTCCTCACCACCGCCTTCACCACTGTCCCCACCAATACCGTCCCCACCACTGTCCCACTGTTCCCACTGTCCCCACAACTGTCCCGCTGTCCCCTCACTGTCCGCACCACTGTCCCCACTGTCCGCACACCACTGTCCCCACCACCAATGTCCCCTCCACTGTTCCCACCACTGTCCCACTGTCCGCACACCACTGTCCCCACCACCACCGTCCCCACCACTGCCCCAGTATCCCTACCACTGTCCAACTGTCCCGAGGAGCGGGAATCGTTTGCCAGCGGCGAAAAGGGTGGGGGGAGGGTTCGAACCAGTTGTGACCCCCCCCCCCTTTCATGATGGACTGGGGGGGGGGGGGGGGGGGGGTAGTTCGAACCGGTAGTGACCCCCCCCCGGCTTTCGGGGGGGGACGGGTTGGGACCCCCCCCCATTGACCCCCCCGGTTTTCCGCCAGCAGCGGTAGAATATCTTTCCTTTCTGAGGAGTCCTTTCTGGGGAGCCCTTACAAAGAAATACTTAGTAAGTGATGCTTAGCAATGACATCTGAATAAGGCTTGGGTAATGAGGAATCCGTACGACACAGGGAACCTTAGTAAAGAATCTTCAATAAGGGCTTCTCAGTAAGGGATCAGGATAAGGAATTCATACTACAAGAAATACTAAGGAACACACCCTTACTTCGTAATACTGAACCAGGGGTCCTTAGTCATGAATTCCTCACAAAAAGAATCAATAATAAGAAACCCTAAGCCAGGGACCCCTGGCGAACCCTTAACCCGTAATCCTTATTCAGAAATCCGTCAGGGTCCTGCATAAGGAGTCCTCAAGATCGCCCCCAGACGGCCTAGGAGGCCCCCAAAAGGACCGCAAGACGGACAGGGAGGGCCCCAAGATTGCCCAATAGGCCCCCAAGACACCCCCAAGACGGCCGCAGAGACCTCCAAGACGGCCCTGAAGTGCCAATAGACGGACCCACGACTGCCCAGGAAGGGCCCAAGACGGCCTCCGAAGGTCAGGAGGCCCCCAAGAATAACCCAAGGGGTCCCGGAGAGGTCCCAGGAGACCCCCAAGAGCCCCCGGAAGCCCCCAAGATGCTCCTTAGAGCACCCCTCAAGGCTCCCGCAAAGTCCCCAAGAGCCCCAAGAAGGCCTCAAGAGCCCTTCTCTTCTTCCACCTGCGCCTTCTCCTCCCTCTCCTCCTCCTTTCTCTTCCTCTCCCCAAGCTCTCCCCGACGGCTTCCACAACGGCTGGGGGAACACACAGTCCAATACCTTGGCCTGGCCCCGGCCCAACGTTCAGCCGCATGGGCGATTCCACAACGCAGGTGGCGCCGGTGATTCGCCGGTGATTCGCCCTGCGTCTCGCCACAGGAGTGCACGGCGTGCTGAATTGGCTGTGGTTTCTGATTTCTCGTCTTAACATGCTCAAAATGGGGTCTCGGCCTGGCCCGCCGACCACCCGGAAAGCCTGGGAAAATGGTCCGTCCGACGGTGTTCCCCTCCAAGTGGCCCCAAGATGGCCTCCAAGACGAAGACGGCCAAGATGGCCGCAAGAGAGCCCAAGATAGCTCCAAGATGGTCTCAAGATGCCTCCAAGGCCGCCCAGATGGTCCAAGAGAGCCCGAGACGGCCCAACAAGTGTCCCCAAGACGGCCCAAGAGGCCTCCAAGAGGTCCTCCAGAGGGCCCGCAGAAGCCAACATCATCGATTATCCTTCGGGTTTTTGAACTATTGTGGCACTTGCTTCCAGAAGGCCTTCCGACTGTCCAAGACGGCCCAAGAGGTACCCAAGATTACGCAAGAGGCCTCCAAGACGCCCCAAGAGGCGCTCAAGGCGCCCAAGATGGCTTCCAAGACGGCTCTTCAGCGCTCCAAGAGAGACCCAGATGGCAGCAAAATGTCTCCAGGACGGCCCAAGATGCAGCCAAGACGGCCTCAGTTGGCCACCTGATGGCCCAAGACGGCCCAAGAGACGCCCAAGAGGCCCTGAAGACGGCCCAAGAGGTCTACAAGAGGTCATTCAGGAAGGCCCGAAGAGGCCAAAATCCTTGAATTGCCGATGATGTTTGAAGGATGTTGGTATGTGTTTATGTTTGGCCTTCCCACGGCCCAAGACGGCACAAAAAGTCCCCAAGAGCGTCCCAAGAGCACCCAAGAGGCCTCCAAGATGGCCCCATGACGGCCCAAGAGGCCCCCAAAACGGCCCCAAGAGGGCCCATAGACGGCCCAAGAAGAAGCCCCCAAGACGCGCAAGATTGCCTCCAAGACGGCCAAGATGGGCCAAAGGGAGCCTAAGATAGCCGCAAGTTGCCTCCAAGACGGCCCACAATGCAGCTAAGACGGCGTAAGATGGCCTCAAGATAGCCCAAGACGGCCCAAGAGGCCCCGAAGATACCTCCAAGAGGTCCTCCAGGAAAGCCAGAAGAGGCCAGAGTCAGTGACGTTCCTCGGGTTTTTGACAGATGTTGGCGTTTGCCCATGTTCAGCGCTCATACAGCCCAAGACAGCCCAAAAGGCCACCAAAAAGGCCCCAAGAACGACCAAGAGGCCTCCGAGATGCCCCCCTGACGGCCCAAGAGGCCCCCAAGACAACCCCCAATCGTCCCTAAGACGGCCCATGAGACCTCCGAGATGCCCAAGCTGATCTCCCCCCAAACGGCCCTGAAGCGCCCCGCCAGCAAGACGGCGTCCGACGGCGTCAGACTTGCCGGGAACGCCCTCAGACGGCCAAAGAACCTCCCAAGGAGACTCCAACGGTCCCTGGGAGGCCCAAGGAAGCCCCCAAGAGACCTCCAGCCCCCAGGAGGTCACAAGAGTGCTCGACGAGGCTCCCACGAGGCCTCTCCATCCTCCTCTTCCTCCTGCTCCTCCTTCTCCTCCCTCCCCTCTACTTCTTCTGTCTCCCCCCCGTGTTCCCTGAAGTGTTCTCACGACGGCTGGGTGCACACATAGTCCGATAGCTTGGTCGAGCTCTGGCCGCAACGCTCGGCCACATAGGCTCTTTCAGAAAGCAAGGGGGCGGCGGCAATTCGCCACAGGCGTCTTCGATCTGCCGCCCCCTTCTTCTTGCAAAGGGGTGCTTGTCGTGCCGGGCTTGTGAATAGTTTCTTGGCCCTTCCTAAAGGTTTCCAGTGGGGTCTCGGCCCATCCAGCGGGCCACCAGGAAAGACCCTAGCGAAAGGATCTTCCTCCATCTCCCCGATGCCCAAGATGGCCTCAACGACGGCCCGGCACAGTCCAACATGGTCTCCAAGACGTCCCAAGACGCCTCAAAGACGGCAAATATCCCCTCCAAGACACGACGCCCAATACGATCTCAGGACGGCCCAAGAGGCCTCCAAGAGGCTCACCAGGAGGGTCCGAAGAGGCCAAACTCGTATATCCATCACATCTGTTTAGGATTTACGCGTTATCGCCTTTCGGGCTTCCGACAGCCGAAGACGGTCCCACAGGCAGCCAAGATAGCCCTAAGACAGCCCCAGAAGCCCCCAAGAGGGTCACAAGATGGGCCAAGAGGGGACCAAATACAGCCCAAGGAAGCCACAAGATGGCTCCAAGAGGTTCTCATCCTCCCTACTCCTTCTCGTCCTCCCTCCTCAGCCTCATCCTCTTCTCCCCCTCCTCCTCCTCCACCTTCCCATCCCTCTCCTCCTCTTCCGCCGCCTCCTCCTCCCGTCCTCCTCCTCCTCCTCCTCATCCTCCTCTTCCTCCTCCTGTTCCTCCTCCATCCTCATCATCCTTCTCCCCTCGTTCTGTTCTTAGTCCTCCCGCCACCCTCCTCATCTTCCTCACTGGCCTTCTCCTGGTCCTCATCCCTCCTCGTCGTCCGTCCCATCCTATCCCCTAGTCCTGATTACATCATCATCTACATCATCGTCACCATCATCAGCAGAAGCAGCAGCAGCAGCCGTAGCATCATCACCAACAACAGCATCATCGGCATCATCATCATCATCAGCAGCAGCAGCAGCATCGTCATCATCATCATCATCATCATCATCATCATCATCATCATCATCATCATCATCATCGTCATCATCATCATCATCATCAGCATCAGCATCAGCATCAGCATCATCAGCAGCGGCATCATCAGAATCATCGTCGTCGCCATCATCATCGTCATCGTCATCGACATCGTCACCCTCATCGTCGGCAGCAGCAGCAGCAACAGCATCCTGCTCTAGCATTTCCACACTGCTACATGTCCCATGCTGCTGTTCCTCCTTCCTCCTTCAACTGCACCTCATCACTCACTCCACTGCTTCTCCGCATCCAGATGTTCATCCCACGAGCCACCGCCGCGTCTGCCAAGGTCCCTGGGTTCACTACGTTGGCGGAGCCGTTCACGAGCTCGCGCGCGAAGATGACGCCCGACGCGACTGCCGCCGCCTCCAACTCGGAAAGACACAAGGAAGGAGAAGCAGGACCTCCTTCTCATCCTTCTACTCCTGCTCGCTATCACCCTCATTCTTACGTGTCCGAACATAACGCCTTCTTCCGCGCCATGAGCGCACGTGCCGCCCGCTGAAGCGAACAATTCGATCGCATCGTGTCTAATAGCACATCATGCCGCAAGGATTGGAGACAAGCATGGAAAGCCTGCGCGACAGTGTGGCCGCACATCCCCCATACCACACCAAAAAGGAGCATGACTCCAGGGAACCACCGGCCTCCCAATGGCGTGCGCTGCTGTGGGTATGAGAGTGCGAGTGGTGTTGTGGGTGCGGGTGCGTTCGCAGGCCAAGGTCCCAGCGTGCACCGCAAAAGTTATTCTGGTGCCTCCCACCCGCCGTCCCACCACTTACGTAGCACACCAGGCTCACCGTAGCCAGTGTCCGCCATTCGATGCAGCTACCCTGAGCTGATACAGACGCCAAGGGCGGCATGCGTGCCAGGCGCACCAGGTGCACACGCATATAAATCCAAGGCGCACCCAGCTGCCATCAACTCGCACTGGCATTTCATACAGATAGTTGGCCAGCGCACAGCGGAAAAACTGGCCCCAGCCCTACCATCTCGAACAACACCCCAACAACACAGGATAACAGCGTGCTGTTACTTGGACAGTCGGGTGTGCCATCCTCGCGAGGTGCGCCCAGGTGCGACGCGCGCAGAGTGCTCAAGGCGCGCCAGGTTGCGTGTCAGCACGCGTTGGGCAATGTGTCGACAGCCCGGCCATCCAAGACAAAAGCCAAGCTAACTGACGGCGTGGTGTTTAGCATCGCGTATGATGCGTACGCCTTCAAGTCAAGCCTTCGAAGATGACATGCTCGCGCCCCCGCAACTACGTACAAAAGCCCATGCTGAGTTATGATGGTGTACCCGCACGTCGCCCAGCGTTTGCAGCGACACACACTTTGCATGATTTTCGACACGGATGGTGGGGAAGCGATGGTTGTTCATGATCGGCGCCCGCTCGAATATGAAAGAGTGCTTGCGAATGAGAAGCGGTGACATGGATGCGGGAATGGGCGAGACCTTTGGCGACTCACCTCTCGAATGCGAAAATGCATCCGGAAGCCGCGCACACACAAGCCGGACGGTTGCCAACGACCCGCCGACACAAAAAAGCGAGAGCGGGCGCAGGTGACAGCTGATGGATGCGGGTGCGGGCGTGGGGGCGCGGGGGCTAGACACCTTCTCACGTGCCGAGAGGGGGGTCTCGATTTGTCCGCTGTCGTCATACTTTACACCGGCGTGCGCACGTCGAGCATCGCCTCACGCTTCGCACCTGTGGTGGCCGCAGCCGTGCCCGAGGGGCGAGGCGCGTCGAGCTCGAAGGGGCCCCGAAGCCCGGAGCGCAGGGATCCCCATCAAGAACTTGCGTGCGTTGGCGTGGGCGCGGGTGCCTCCTCCTCCTCCTCCTCCTCCTCCTCCTCCTCCTCCTCCTCCTCCCCCTCCTCCTCCCCCTCCTCCCCCTCCTCCTCCCCCTCCTCCTCCCCCTCCTCCGCCTCCTCCGCCTCCTCCTCCTCCTCCTCCTCCTCTTCCCCCTCCTCCTCCTCCTCCTCCTCCCCCGTGCTTCTGCACGGGTGCCTCTGGGGGTGCCTCCGCGGGTCCTCTGCGTGCCTTCTGCGCTCTGCGCCGCGGGCCTCCGCGGGCGCCCTCGTGGGGGGTGGGGGGCACGGCAGAGTGAGAGGGCACGGGAGCAGCTGTTACGGGAGCCAGAGTCTGGAAGCCGTGGGAACTTCGATCGTGGGCTGGCCGCGGAGACCGCCGCCGACCTCATCAGATGCTTGCATCGGGGCATCGGAGCGGCAAGCCGTCGAGCGTGCTAGAGGTTGCTCCGTCTTTGCCGATGGCAAACAGACGATGGCTGTATCCCCAGTCGGCTGGTCGCGACGAGGGCGATGCGGGCATCTCTCTCGAGCGTCACGCCCCCTGAGAGGCGTCGCACATCCAGGGAAAGGGCGCGGTACGCGCCGAAGACACTCACTGCACCTCAGCGCAAGTCAACCGCAAAGGACTTCCTCCCGTCAGCAGTTCGCAACGGCGCAGGGCGCAGACAAGGAAGCCTCCAGGGTCCGAAGCCTCCCGCGCACATTCCTCAAAGAACGCCCCCCCGCCGTGCGGCTGTCTCTTGCGCTGGGCGGACGGCACGGGACGCAGAAGGACATACTCGTGTGATTCGGCGGTGGACAAACCTCCCTTTAGTAAACCTCCCCTCAGTGAAAACGGCCTGGGAGCGAAACCGACGGACCTGGACCCGCAAAACTGACGGCCGCGACGCCCTCTGGCGAACCGGAAACGGCTCATTCGCTAATCGACGTGTCAGGGTGGGAGCTCTGTCCACCCCCGCATGAGACACCTTCCTCGGAGGCGCGCACGTCCGACACGAACACACAATGCAGGCACAAAAGAATTGATCGCTTCCCGAACGTGCGCGTCGCCCTTACGGGGCCGACGCACACACACACACACACACACACACACACACTTTTTTTGATTCGCGGGTCGAGAGCTCACCTCTTCCGGTCGAAGCAAAGCGGGCCGCGCAGAGCTTGAATTACGCGGAGAAGGGGGAGGAGAAGGGGGGCGCAGCCTCAGAACGAGGCCGGGAGGAGGCAACGCCTCGGAACCAGGCGGTGTCGAAGTGCACACACACACACACACACACACATACAAGTGTGCTCATGTGGTGACGAGGCGCGGCGAAGCCGAAGATGACGACAGCACAACCCACCCACCCACCCGCCAGGACCCCCCCCCTCCCGACCAAGCGGTCCACGGAGTCCCCGCTGGGGTTGGGGACGAGTTTGGGGGCCCCAGGGCCAAGGGCCCCCAAAAACCACCCCCGCCCCAGGCCAGGAACCCCCTGAATCATCCAGTCGGGAGTGGAGGTCTTGGCTGGGCCTGGGGGTGGGTTGTGCTACCCTTAGGTCGGGCCTGTCCCCCCTCAGGGGGATTTTGAGCGAAAAATTAGAAAATACTCCATGCCCCCAAGTGGTCAAAAAAATAGCCAAAAAATCGTCTCCGCATTGCTTGACTATTCTTGGAGTGTCCCCCCTGTAGAGGGACAAGCCCGACTTAATGCTACTGGTACTGGTACTGATACGTCAAACACCGCGCGGTGCGTGGACTACGCCAGGCGCAAGCAAGGAAGACAGCGCCTGAATCTATAAAAAAAAATTGCGTACACTATGCTCGAAATTGTGCTGAGAATGCCTCGCCGCGTGCTGAGCTGCCCTCACAAAAAGCTCCCGGGCTGTGATCGCACGGAGGCGTCGAGAAGAGGCCTCCGGCCTCGGGCCTCGGCGTGCGCGCGGAGGCGTGCCACGAGTCCGGTGCACGCCTGCGCGCGCACGCCCTCCGCGCCAGAGAGGAGGAGGAGAGGAGGAGGAGAGGTAGGAGAGGAGGAGGAGGAGGAGGGAGGAGGAGGAGGAGGGAGGGAGGAGGATGGCCGGAGGAGGCCGGAGGAGGAGGAGAAGGAGGCGGAGGAGAAGGAGGAGGAGGAGGCGGAGGAGGAGGAGGAGGCACCCGCTCGGCGCGGCATCGTCAAGAGGCTTCACCGCGGCGGCTCTCCGCGACCCCTGGCCTCCCACAGCCTCTCGGGGCGAGCTGGGCATCCCCGGAGCGCACGCGGCGAGGCGCAGTCGAAAGCATCCCGAAGCTGGAAGACCGGCGAGAATCCCCGAGGGTTGGAAGCGGCGGGGGGATCTGAGCTGGATGGGCCCGAGACAGTCGGTCTGGAGGGGGGGGGGGGGGGGCAAGGGCAAATCCGCTTAAAATGGGTCCCCTGACCCCTCCTGGGATCCACCTGGTGCAGTGCTCCACCCCGGATCCGTTTTTGTCGGCCCTGGGGCCCCGAAAACGCCCTTGGGAGGCCGAAAAGGGCAACAACAAAAATCCTCGAACCCAGAACCTCGAACCTCCACCCCTTCTGCTGGCCGGAACCAGCACTGGGCCGACTCAGGCCCCCAGCCGACTTCCAGCTTCTGAAGTCCGCGGGCGCCGAATGGTCAAGGACAGCCAGACGCCGGTCAGCAAGCAGTGGGACGCACGGGGAGCGAATGGAGGCACAAAAGCAGAAATGACAGGGCGCAAGGGAGGGACAGGAAGGAGCCCGCTCCGATGATCCACAGCTACGGCTACGGCTTGTGGCGCTGCATGCGTAGCGCTGTGAAGGCGCCGCGAAGGGGGCGCCGAGGCGCCTGCTAAGGCGTGCGCGTGCGAGACACCGTGGAACATTGCATGGGAGGAGGAGGAGGGAGGAGGAGGAGGAGGAGGAGGAGGAGGAGGAGGAGGAGGAGGAGGAGGAGCCCCTGCTCCTCGCCCTCTCCTCCTCTTCTTATTCTTCTTACTATTATTATTATTCCTCTTATGAGTATTCTTCTTCTTATTAGTAGTAATAGTATTCTTATTGTTGTTCTTATGAATATCATTAAAACTTACTATTATTAACAGTATTACTCTTCTTATTATTAGTCTTTTTATTTTTCTTAATCGTCTTATTATTAGTATTATTCTTGGTATTAGTAGTATTATTATTATGATGATTATCCTCCTCCTCCTCCTCCTCCTCCTCCTCCTCCTCCGCCTCCTCCTCCTCCTCCGCCTCCGCCTCCGCCTCCGCCTCCTCCTCCTCTCCTCCTCCTCCTCCTCCTCCTCCTCCTCCTCCTCCGCCTCCGCCTCCGCTCCGCCTCTGCCTCCTCCTCCTCCTCCTCCTCCGCCTCCGCCTCCGCCTCCTCCTCCTCCTCCTCCTCCTCCTCCTCCTCCTCCTCCTCCTCCTCCTCCTCCTCCTCCTCCCTCCTCCTCCTCCTCCTCCTCCTCCTCCTCCTCCTCCTCCTCCTCCTCCTCTCCTCTCCTCCTCCTCCTCCTCCGCCTCCTCCTCCTCCTCCTCCTCCTCCTCCTCCTCCTCCTCCTCCTCCTCCTCCTCCTCCTCCTCCTCCTCCTCCTCCTCCTCCTCCTCCTCCTCCCTCACCTCCTCCTCCCTCACCTCCTCCTCCTCCCTCCTCCTCCTTCCGCCACGGGCGCCTCCTCCGCAGCCGCGGCGCTGCCGGGGGGGAAGGCGCCGAGCAGGGTCACGGTCTCGGGGCCGCCTGCGGCTCCCGCAGGTCGGAGGGGGCGCAGAAGGACACGCTACCCAGAGGTTCGGCGCTCCAGAAAAAATTGGAGCTGGCGGTTTGGGGCCGGTTTCGGCCTCCGGGGACCCTCGCCGGGCCCTAGGACCGTCAAAAAAACACTTCGGGGCGAGACACCGACCCTGGGGAAGCGGTCCAGACCTCTGGGGCCCACGCATCGAAAAAGTTGGAGCAGCCCGATGTCTGGGTAGCACTGCGTGCTGATGTTGGAGGCGCACGTCCGACACGATCAGATAGCACAAGAACCTTATAGCAGACGGTTTCCCCAGAGGTATGGCCAGAAAGTGCCCGCCGCGGAGCTTTTACTTTAAGATTTCTGAGCGTTCGGGTCGCCCTTGCGACAGTAAAAGTATGGTTGGGTGGTGCCGATCCGAGGCGGCGGCAGGCAGGTCTGAGCGGGATCGAATCGCCAAATCGGATCGACTCGGAAACAGATCGGATCGCCCACGGATCGTCGCGAATCCAATCGAAACTGGGCCGCCGCGCTCGATTCTGGCTGGCCCTAGCCGATGAAGGCGAATTGACCGGAATCGAATCGAACCGGAATCGCGGTCCCAACCGGCGAATCGAATCGCATCGAATCGGATCGCCGGTGGCCCTGAGACGGGAACGGATAGCACATAGTATAGGTGGGCATCTCATCCAGACCCCCATTTGCGTCGTAACAAAAGGCGGCGCGAATTGTTTCGCTATTTCCAGCCTGCAGGGTCCCTCGCCCGTCCTCAGGACCGTCTAAATACGAGTCAGGATGAAAAGCCGGTCCCCAGAAAGGGGTTCAGACCTCTGGGGTCTACGTCATGGGAAAAAATGTCGTCGGGGCGGATACCCCAGGGGTGGGCACCACGCGTAATGTTAGGAGGCAACTCCTGTGAGGTCTTCGTCGGAGCGATCAAGAGCTATGAAGCCCGATTGCGGGGCCACTGGGCCGGCTTAGGCCAGATGAAGCCAACTGGGATAGGATCGGCGCGGGGGGGTGCTAAGGGGACCACTTGGGGCACCTGTAACCCACTGGTAAGCAAGGTTAGGCCAAACATAACCCACCGTGGCATCCACTGATAACCCCCTCGATCCCTTGAATTAGCAACCCGCCCGCCGATCCCAGTAGGCTCATGCCAGATGAAGCTGGACTCAGCAAAATCAAGCGAGATAAAACTGGATTAGGACGGATCAAGCTAGTTTCGACCGCGGATATACCAGCGCCGATTCTGAATTGACCTCCCAGGAACTGCATCCGAACACAATGCGACCGAGCGATCACACATCAAATTTGGCAGAGACGAGACACACAATTGCTTCTCGTCCGGGTCGCTGGCTGTGGCCTGGCGGAATCGACGACGACGACGACGACGACGACGAAGACGACGACGACGACGACGACGACGACGACGACGACGACGACGACGAACCAGCAACATTGTTTGATTCTTGCGCTTCCCAATTGGGCGGCGCACCCTCCACCCCCCCTGGGCATTTCTAGACCGCTCGTTCGCACTCTCCGTCCGGTGATCGGCGAGCCTGGATGCGTGCGCTGCTCCCGCAAGGGCCGAGTCGGAGCCCATCTGGGAGGCCGGAGAGGATCCGGCAGCGGCCGCCCGCGCAGCCCAGGGGCAGGCCCAGAGGCGCGGAACAGCCAGGTGCCTCGCCCCCGCTGGCGGGCCCTCGGGGGATGGCCGTGGCTGCCTCTCCGGCGCCTCCGCGACGGCGCCCTCGGTGCCCACCTCCCGGCTGCCCGGCGGGCCACCCCCAGGCGTGCAACCCCTACGGGCTTCCCCGCGGCCACGCGCAGAGTCTTGCTCCCGCATCTCGGGCACGGCGTGGGCGCAGATGGTCCCGTTGCCACCGTGGCGCCAGCCTCCACCACGGCGTGCAGAGAGCCTTGCGCGTGGAAGCTGCCTCGCAGCAAGGCCGACGAGGCAGGGTGTACGGCGTCGCAGCTCGGGAGGCCCAAACCAGAACGGTTGTCCTCATGATAATTTCGTTGTAGTCGTCACTGTCGCCATCACCATCCTCGGAATAGTCGTTGGCATGATGATGATGATGATGATGATGATGATGATGATGATGATGATGGTGATGGTGATGGTGATGGTGATGGTGATGGTGATGGT